ATATGAAAGAATTATCTGGGGAAATGACTTAGTTACTACATTTCTATTGCTTTCCATGTTGAAGAACTTTGTGTTGTTTCTATTTTAATGTACTTTTATTAAAGTTATTAAAATTAAGTTTAAATCACATTAAAAGCTTAATTTGTACATTATGAATGAATGATGATGCATTTATATACCGTCACCGTCACTCAGCCGCTCGCACGTGTTTTGCGCATGAGCCGCACGCAGCCCAAAATTAAACGACTTAATCGACCATCGATAGCTTTAATCGATTGCATCTCTTATCGACAATTAATCGATCATCGATTAATCGTTGACATCCCTAGCCTGCACCATCTAGAGTTTCATGACAGAACTTGGCATTTATTTTTCGAAGATTAACAAAAGTCTTTTGGGTTTAAAACGACATGTAGATGATGTAAAATTATGACAATATTTACACTTTTCGATGAACTATCCCTTTAAGCTGTTGTTTGATATGTGTGTGTGTGAATGCTTTTCTGATATCATTTTGAATGTAAGCTCACAGTTTGCAGTGGCTCAGTGCGGCTTGTATCTGTTGCCTGTGTCCCCTCCTCCCTGTTCAGAGAGGGAAGATGGCCCAGAGGAGATGTGACACTTCCTGTAGCTGTGTGTGACAGGTCTGGTGTTATTCGCTTACCCAGGCAGCCAGCAGGCCTGCTGCTTCCAGACAGGGCGCGTTTGTATGTGTGTGTATAAGACAGATGGGCTGTGCGCCGTGTTTGTGTTTTATTGTTTTGAGTTCAGTAAATGAGACACACATGGGCTGATAAAGGGACAGGAAAAGATAAATGATCAATTAGAGGCTTCACCACAATTGCCTGCAAGTCTCTCTGGTGTCTGTGAAACCAAAGCAGGGAAATGAGACTGACAGAGAGAAGAGGAGAAAGGGAAAATGAAAAATAGAGAGACAAAGAGATCCAGGGTGTATTAGGAAATTCACATTCATTCTGTGCGTGTGTGTGTGTGTGTGTGTGTGTGTGAGAGAGAAGCACTAACACTACCTCTCTGTGTGGCCGAACTCAGATGAGAAGCCTGATGAGAAGTGGATTGTGTTTGACGGGCCAGTGGACACGCTGTGGATCGAGAGCATGAACTCTGTAATGGATGACAACAAAGTCCTCACACTCATCAATGGAGAGAGAATCTCCATGCCCGAACAGGTACCGGTGCCAGACCATACTCTGCACACACTAAAACCTCTGATGCTGCCCGCCCAGGGTTATTTCACTTCTGATTCCAGACCTGATACTGTGCACTTCGCCTCACTAACCCATCAGTGTACTACAGAGAACTATTTAGTATTTCCTTCTAGGGTTGGGCCGATAGACGATGCCATTGTCCATCGCCGATGGCTGATAGACATCACAATGTTGAGCCGGCATCGTGATCCCCCCCCCCAT